CAATCCCCGACATTCTGTGATTCTGTGAGCCTCCTCCTGTGCTGGGGCCTGGTCTCTCCACTGTGGGTTGAATTCGAGCTGGGAGCACTGGGGATACTGGCAGCCGCCCCAGTGCTTTGCCTGCTCAGGCAGAAGCACAGCTTTGGGTGCTCTGAACCTTGCTGTGACATGAGGACGGGCCCTGCCCCGCTGCCTGGGGCTGCAGGTTGTCCCCAAGACCTTCCTTCTTCCCATCCTTCTCCCACCCTCTCCACCTCCCTCCTTGGCTCCTAGGAAGCCTTCAAATAAATCTTGGCATGCTGAAAAGCTGTTTTCTCTCCCAGCCTACGTGTCAGCACTAATCTGGAGACAAACAGTTGCATTTATAAGAAGAAAATAACGATGTGGCTCCCACTCAGTGGCATAATGCGAGGGGCCGTTCCCGGCGTGCTGGGGATGCTGCAAGGATTCTTCACTGGACAAAGAGGCGATTGATGAACTGGGTCATGGCAGGAGGAGATGGTACATGGGAAAAGCACTGAACAGAGAGGCCTCTGAAAAGGAACCCATTCCCTGTGGAAGAGGCAGCCCTGGGCAGCCTGCCTTGCCCAGGGGACCTGTGGTGCTGGTGGCCAGGTCACCGGGCAGGCAGAAGGGGCTCCGAGGTGGCTGGGGATCAGGGTACCTGCAGGTGCTGCTCTGCCAAGGGAAGGTTCCTCTTTCTCTTTGTTTTGTACTGAAGGGTGCTCGAGTGGAGGGAAAGGCTTTCAGAGCCTGTTGGGTCAGTGTGTCTCTGGTGGCTGGAGCATCAGTTGAGGGTGATCACCACAGCTCTGCTGGTGAGTGACTGGCTCCCTGGGATGAGGCTGTGGCTTGGTGTGTTGCTGTTTCGCCATCCACACAGCATGAAAGGGCAAACCTGTGTCCCAGCACTGGGGGCAGGAGGGGGTAAGCCCTGAGAGTGCATCCTCAAGATGGGTCTGATGCTCAAGGGTGACCCTTTGCTGTTCCTTCTCCATATTTTGTTGGTGGCTTGGGGTCAGCAGGATCTGTCAGACCCTGTTAGCATCCCCTTATGTCCTGACCAGTTGTGCAGGAGGTAGAGAAGCTCCTCTTTCTTGGCCTGGAGCTGCAGCACTTCCTGTGTCTGCCCTCCTGCTCTGCAGCCCTGAGCACGGCCCTGGGCGATGAAAGCCCCTTGCTGCACTGGGCCACCAGCTTGTGCCGGTGCCTTGCCCTGCTGCACCTGCGCCCCACACCCTGCCAAACCTGGGCCAGTTGGCTCACCAGAGAGAGAGATCCTTGCGGAATCTGGATGAATTGTCCCTGTGGGAAGGTAATGCCTTCAGTGATACGGCCAGAGCGGGGTGGCTTTAGCAGTGCTGGGTGTGATTGATGTGAGTCCCATTCTCTCCTTCTGCATGAGCTTCTTCCCTTGTGCCAGTTCCCAGCACCTGGGTGTAGGCTGGATGGGAGGGGACCAGGCATGATGTGTTTCAGATGGTGTGGTTGTCAGGACCAGCGACCGTCCCAAGGCAAAAACCTCCAGGCAGGTCCCTGCAGCTGCGTACCATCATGGGATGTTCCTTGATCACCTCTCCTTGCCTCAGAGCAGGGGTAAAGCTGTGGCCCTGTAACCTCTTTCATGTGCCCTGCCTGATCTGAGTGCTTTCCACTGATCGTGGCCATGGGCTCTCCTGTCCATGAGCAGTTCTGGGGCTTTGGTCATAGAATCATAGAATCACAGACTGGTTTGGGTTGGAAGGGACCTTAAAGCTCATCCAGTTCCAACCCCCCTGCCAGCAGCAGGGACACCTTCCACTAGACCAGGTTGCTCAAAGCCTCATCCAACCTGGCCTTCAACACTTCCAGGGAGGAGCAGCCACAGCTTCTCTGGCCAACCTGTGGATGGTTGCCTGCCTGGTCCTGTGGGTGTTTGCCATGCAGTCAGGTAGGAGCCCATGTGTCATGTTTATGTTTCTGGGACTGGATTCCTGCAGCCTACGTGGGACTGTCCTGTTGTGGTAACTTTGGGGTCTGGCTGCTTTCAGAGGTTTGTGCTGTTCCCCTGTGTGGCAGCTCCCTGAGTCTCAGCCTGGAGCTCAGCTGCTGTTTGCAGCAGGGATCTCTGCCCTGCTTGGTACTGCCTGCCGCGTGTCCCAGCCCTTGGCTCTTACTGAACTCCCATCCTGCTTAGCCCTGCCACCACATCTGTCCTCGTTTGGCAGCTCTCTCTTTGGTTCTTAGCTGGACTGGGGTGGATTAGGTGACTGATACAAGTATTTTATACATACCTCAGTGCAGGTTTTGCCTCGCCTTGTAGAACCAAAGTAGCCATGAAATAATCCACGGGATAAAGGGATTCTGATACAGCATCTTGTTTTGTGCATGATCTAGGACAAGAAACTTAGGGAGGGCAGAGCTTACCCTTGCTTCAGCTGGAAGCATTGAAGAATTACCTTTTGTAGACCACGGTCCCATCTGGTTACAGTCTGGCAAAGCAGCTTGCCAAGCCCCCAGGAATCTAAACACTTGCTGTGAGTGAAAGGTGCTCTGACAGCTTTATAATGTACCAACGGTTGTTTACAATTATCCAGAAATAGGGGCCTTATTTGCCTCACTCAGGGTGTCAGAATCCCATTTTCCACTGAATTTGCCTCCCCTGCATTTTTGTAAGTAAATAGAAGCAAATGATGTGGGAGAAGGGGGAGGATGGCAGATGGCTTTGGAGGAGTGTGAGCCTGGTGCTATAAAAGGCAGAATGAGGAAAAGGGAGAAGAGTGGAGAGGGAAGTGTGAGAATCAGAACAATGGAAAAGGAAGGCAATTTATCAGATGCATTTGGGGCTTGGAGTCAAGTTCAGGATACACAGACAGGAGGAGGGTTGCTGGGGCATTTCCTTGTTCTGTGATTCTTTAGGGCTTATAATGATGTGTAGGCACCTGCCAGGTGAGGAGCCATTAAAGATTGTTTCCTGTTAGCACACTGAAGCCGTGACCCTCTGTCTGCAATAGCTAAAGCATGTCCAGAGAAGGGCAACGAGGCTGGTGAAGGGCCTGGAAAACAGGTCTTATGAGGAGTGGCTGAGGGAACTGGGGTTGTTGAGCCTGGAGAAAAGGAGGCTGAGGGGTGACCTTCTGGCTCTGTCCAAGTCCCTGAAAGGAGGGTGGAGAGAGATGGGGGTGGGTGTGTTCAACCAAGGACCAAGTGACAGAATACTAGGAAATGGCCTCAAGTTGTGCCAGGGGAGGTTTAGATTGGATATAAGGAAGAATTTCTTTGCCAAAAGGACAGTCAAGCATTGGAACAGGTTGGCCTGGGAGGTGATGGAGTCGCCTTCCCTGGTGGGATTTCAAAGACGGGCAGACGAGGTGCTGAGGGACATGGTTTAGAGGTGGAATTGACGGTATTTGGTTTATGGTTGGACTCGATGATCTTAAAGGTCTTTTCCAACCACTATAATTCTGTGATTCTATGAGCTCAATCGAGAGCCCTGGGGCAGCAGATGTGGCATTAGTAGGTGGCACCTGACCTATGCTAAAAACCCAATTTAGATGCAGTGGCTTTTAACTCGGCATAAGCTGCCTGAGCAAGACCGTGTCCCCTGGGCTTTTCCTGAGCTACTCTATTATGTGTTGAAGGTGATGCCTCGTATCTATCTTAAGCCTTTAGAGGGTATAAATGAATATATGCTAATTTGACATCTTTAAGTCCTAGTCTGAAGTTCAAACACAACCTGCATAAGGCAGGCCTAAGTCCAGGGTGACTTATCCAGGAGATGGTGTGCATGGCTGCTTCGCAGTGCTGCAGGGTGCCTCATCTCAGTGCCTTGTGTCCTCTCCCTCTGTTTGTCCCGTCACGGTCTCTAGTGCAGGTATTTGTTTGATGTCCCAACGCTGCTGTTGGCTCACTGTGAAATACTCTGTATTTTAGCTGCTGCCCCCATGATGTGCGAGGCAGGGCTGATGGCACCGGAGCCCTCCGGCCCCACGCAGTACTATGGGGAGTCATCTGACACCTACTACCACGAGGACCGCTGGCAGAGGCTGCGCACGGCTGTCCGCAAGCTGGAGTTCTGGGAGAACTTCAACGCCGAGCTGATAGGCAGCGGCTTCTTCTCCAAGGTCTACAAGGTAAACTGACGTACAGACAGCCCCTGACCTGTCTGAGAGCACCTGCTGAGGCTGTGTAGATGGTACCTCACCTGAGGAACCTGTCCCCCAGCTTATTTCCTTGTTTTCTTCCCTCCCAGCTCCCTCTGTCAGATTGGATGGGGTGAGGGAGGAAGGGACACTCCTTCTGCACACCCAGCATGTCACCTTTGATGCACATTTCCTCTTCCATAGTGAAAAAGAAAATGGGAGGACTCAATCAATCAATGTTCATTGATGGTGTCATCTAGCCATACAACAGGCTTATCAGGGAGCTAAACTTAGTATTGCATGAGATATGGGGATATTTATGGTCTGTGCAGGTTTCATTGTCAAAACTGTAGCAAAATATATAAAGAAAAAGAATGGAAAATTAGGCTGCGTGTGTCTCCTAAAATACCTGCCACCCACATACCACGGAGGTGCCAGTGCTGTCACCCCTCTCCAGCTGCTGCCCTGCATTACGGTGATGCTGGGGAAGAGCAGGGGACGTGGGGCAGGGTCAGGCTGCGACAGCTGCTGGTCCGTCTGTTTCTGCCTCTGCTGCCTTCATGTCAGGAGACTCATGGCTCCCTGAAAGCCCCTGCATGATGTGGATGTGTCACCACAGCAAAACTGCTTCTCTCACTGGGGCTGTTGTGAGTCACTCTCTGCACCAAACTCGACTGGTGGGAGTTTGTTTAACGGTCTCTGAGCAAGCACAGGATCTGGGAAGCTGCTGGCTTTGCTCCTCCTTCAGCGCTGCTTCTCAGCCCAGGAGTGCCATGGCTTATTTGAGAGGGAGAGGATGGGGATTGGGGGTCTTTCCCTGCCGCCCTCAGTGATCACTGCTCCATGAACAGCAAAGTGAGAGGAGGCGCTTCATGTTAGGAAGAGAGACTCGGACTTCATCTCTGAGAGCAGATGTCACGTTGCTTTGCAGGGTGGCCAGATTTGCCCATCGTATCTCTCCTCCCAGCAGCCTTCCAGAATGTGGCTCCTGACACTGATCTTGGTTGTTGGGACATGACACAGACCCAGTGGAAACAAATTGAGCCTGACTCTACCATTGCCTTCAGCTCCTTAGCTGAACCAGTCACACGATAAAATCCTGACTGCACCTTTCTTCTGGGCCAGCACAAGATGCTTCTGCCAGAGGAGTACCCTGACATTCTGGGTGAGATCCCTGGCTGATGTAAGCACTTGTGGCCAGCTGAAGGTAATGGAGCCAGGCTGTCAGGATCTGGCCATGGAACTGCCGAAAATACGCAAGTCGGAAAGATAAAGGTGTGTTGCTTTCTCAAGGCTCTGCCTCCTCCTCCGCTGCACCTGGACTTGGTGCTGTGATAAAGCCTTTGGCTGAACTTTGGGTCCAGTGAAAGTGCCCTGAAGCTGTTCAAGGGGAATCTCCAGCCAAAGGTCTATGGCAGCTCTTTGCAGACTGGGGCAATACATGACAAATACATCTCCCTATCACAGCCTCCTTCTAGTAATTGCTTTCCCCTCCTACGCAGTATGCTGTCGCCATCGCTTTCTCTTTCCTTTATCTAGCAGATTTTCATAGTAACAGTTGCTGTTTCCTTCGTGTGTGACATTTTCCTCCTGCCCTGGCAGTGAATGAAATTCCAGCAGTAGGCAGGCTGGAGACACGGAGCTTGAATGAAAATGAAGTAGAAGCAGAAAAAGAAATGTAAAAAAAAAAAAAAAGAATAAAAAAAGAATAAAATGCTATGGGTCAAATAGTCAGAAGACAGTGGAGGAGGACTTGGGACAAGGACAGCCCTTTGTGGGGCTTGACATTTGTCTGGGGACTCGAGCACAACCGTAACTGAGTGCCCTGATGACTCCTGGTCCTCTTGGGTCAGCCAGTCCCCTGTGGACTCTCCTGGAACAGCAGCGCTCCTGCTGCGAAGCATCGCTGGCAATGATCCTTTGAAGCTCTTTGCCAACAGAAGCTGTCTTCCAAAGTGCTCCCGCAGCAAGGACATCGGCTCCCCAAAGTGCTGGCACTGTTGTTTGCTTTTGCCATCCTTTGTCCTTCAGCCCGTGGTCTTGGAAGAGGCCTTCTGAGCCTGTTACCTTTGCCCATCTCTCCCACTACTTTTTTGGGGGTGTGGGTCTACCCTTGCTTTTCAGTCATTTCTTCTCTGCACCAGGCTGGAATTTGCATTGCCCTGTGGACAGGAACCTACTGGCCCAGGGCTTGTGAACTCTGCTGATGTCGAGCTGGGCCATGCGACCTCACCTGGAAGTTCAGTGTCTCCACCAGAGTTTGTGCAGAGCTAATAGGTCTTGCTGAAACTCAGTATTAGCTCTTCTGAAAGTTTTTCAGATCTTCAGCTGTTTTTCAGCTACTCTCTGTACTCTGTCCTGGGCACACGGGCACTCACAGTTTTTGCACAAAGATGATTGATTGCATCTCTTATATTTACATCTGTGCAATTACAGTTAATAGTCAGTTGCATCTGATTAGTGACCCATAGTCTGTGGTTATGAAGTCCGGTCAGGTGAGGGTGTCTGAGCCCTGGCTTTCTGATGACCTGCTCAAGTGGAGAAGCTGAGTTATTCATAGAATCCCAGACTGGTTTGGGTTGGAAAGGACCTTAAAGATCATCCAGTCCCAACCCCCCTGCCAGCAGCAGGGACACCTTCCACTAGACCAGGTTGCTCAAAGCCTCATCCAGCCTGGCCACAAACACTTCCAGGGAGGAGCAGCCACAGCTTCTCTGGCCAACTTGGGCCAGTGTCTCACCACCCTCACACCAAAGGATTTCTTCCTCACATCTCATCTCAGTCTCCCCTCTTCCAGTTTCAAGCCATTATTCCAGCAATAACATTGACTATTAGGTTGTTGTTCCTTCAAAAAGGAAGCAGCAGTCCATGTTGCTCCCAAGACAGTTGGTTTTGTAACCTTGATTATAATGAAGCTTTCTCTCCTTCCAGCCCAGCTAGGTCTTACATGCAGCTCTTTGTTCTCCTCACCTGGACTAGTAACCTTATCCATTAAATTACCCTCACAGAGAGCAATGGATGGCACTTTTGGACTCAGAGTGCTGCTCTTAAGCCGGCTCATGCTGTATCTGAACTATTTTCCCCTTAAAATAAACAAAGGGTTAGGGCTAGCCCTGAGAGAGCTGTCAGGACATCAACGTGTGCCACATCTGATACATGAGCCTCCTTAAAACACATGTTAATTGAGGGTGGAAATGTTAAAGTGCCACAATGCTCTGTGATGTGGTCTGGAAACTGCTATTTGGATTGTCAGCCCAGATAACGTGAGCTGCAGCGCAGGGGCCCTGGATGGTCCTGTCTGGGCTGAGAGCCAGGCCACCTCTGCATGTCATGCAGCCTGTGTGAAACCTCCACATGTAGTACTGCTCAACCCTGGTACCTCCATGGGGGACAGCAAATTTCCTCCTAAAAAAATGCCTGCTCAGTCTATTCAGTGTTGTCAGGTGGAGGAAGAGCATTTTTAAATTTTCTTTAGCTTCCAGTATCCCAGCCCAGGGAAGCCCTAGGAATGACATGTCTGGTGGTAATCCATAGTAGAGGCTCAGGTTGGAATGGGGCTGGGAAGCAGATGTGGGACCTCTGTCCTGGGATGGAGGGAAGAGACAAACTGGCTCTGCACTTTCTTTGCTGTGTCTGTCTGGCAGAGCCTGAGTGGAGGGGGTCTGGCCATGGGCAGGGGTGCAGGAGGAAATGGGGATGAGGAGTGTGGCCAGCAGCCTTGTGCAGTGACCCAGGTAGGAAGGAGAAATGGAGATGTGGGGCAAGCTGTGATTGGGAAGGGACATTGAATGCAAGTTGTCAGAGGGGAGAAGGTAAGCTCTGTGGTAACCCAGTGTGGGCTGAGAAACTGCTTCAACCCAAGGAACACACAAATTTTGGCAGAGAAATAGTGTTGTGATGTGTTGGGACAGGAGGGACCTAGCTGTCCCCAGCCACCCAGGCAAGTGTCACTAGAGTGGAGCTTTTGTGAAAGGACAGCACCTCGCAGTTGTGCAAATGATTGTGCAAAGCTCTGGGCAGCAGGGAAATGAGATTCAGGCCTTTGGTTGGGAAGGGATGCTGTTGTCCAGAAGGGCTGGCAGACCTCTGCAAGCTGAGAGATGTCCTGCTCCAACCTTGGCTCCAGGTGACTCAGGCTTCTGCTTGTAAAGTGATGGTGGTGAAGATCTACAAGAATGATGTGGACCAAGAAGTGATTGTGCGTGAGATCAGCCTGCTGCAGAAGCTGTCCCACCCCAACATTGTCAGGTGGGCACATCATCCAGCCATGAGCAGCAGGCACTGGCTGGGCTGGAGCTGGCCTGATGTCTCTAAGGCATTTCTGCAATGAGGGATTGAGCTGAACCTTAATGACTTTTTATCTTTTTTTTTTTTTATGTGTTATTCTCATTAGGTACCTTGGGATATGTGTGAAGGATGAGAAGCTGTACCCCATTCTGGAGGTAAAGGTTTCTTGCTTGTAAGTGTGCTGTGGGCAGGCAAGGACCCTGCGGTTCTTTGGCAGGGAGGGTGGCAGGTATCCTGTAACACCTATCTACGCCTCTCTGACTCCTGTGCCTGTGAGTGACCGTGGCCTAGCAAGATTGCCATGGAGGAGCTTCTAGTCCTTTCTACCCCATAAATGATCACAGCTGGAGTGGGGCACAGTCACTGGAAGGCCATGGGATTCAGCCAGGATAGCCAGAAAGTGTTTCAGGTTGGCTTGGTACCACCAATGGGCCAGAATGGGCCAGATGATGGGGAGGAGCCAGGGATGGAGGGCAGGAGCAGAAGGTAAAGCAGATGGAGAGTAGCAGGACCTCCAAAGTGGCTCTGGAATGGTGGTGTGGTCTCATGGAAAAGCCTGGGCTGACACTGGTCTCACCTTGTTCTGCACTGTTGGTGGCAGAAGGTGTTGACTGAGCCATTGCCAGGCTTTTTGCTTCTGCTTTGCTGCCCCTGAGTGAGGACCACGGCTGGCTTACACAGCCGTCCCTGCAGTGGGAGCAGAGCCCAGAGACCAGCAGTGACTTGCTGTGCCAGGAGGGGTTTTCACACCATGCCACGCACAAGGGCCCCTGCACGTGGTGGCACTCCCAGCCTGCATCCCAAAGGAAGGGCTCCCAGGTTGGCGAGGGAGGGCTCAGCACCTGGGAAGCTCTGGGGGAGCCTGTGACTGCAAAGCCACCAGCTTTTTGTCTCCGTTCACAGTACGTGAATGGGGGTTGCCTGGAGGAGCTCCTGGCCAACAAAGACATTGCTTTGACATGGAAGGAAAAAGTGGACTTAGCTTCTGACATCACCAGAGGCATGATCTACCTGCACTCCAAGAACATCTACCACCGAGATCTCAACTCCAAGGTATGCAGCTGGAAAGGGGACATTGCTCCTAACTGCTGAACGTGACTATGGTGGTTTGACCCACGGTGGGACCATGGGGTCGTGCCCTCACTCCCCCAACCCAGTGAGATGGGATGGGAGTCACAACAAAGAGGTCAGCGATTGAAATGAGGACAGGGAGGGCTCCCTCACCAGTGATGGTCACGGGCAAAACAGACTCAACTTGGGGAAGAAAAATCAATTTAATTCGTTGCCATTCACCAGAGCAGCACAGTGAGAGACAACAACCACATCTGACAGCACCTTCCCCACCCCTCCCTTCTTCCCGGGCTCCAGTCACTTTGCTCCCCATGTCTCTACCTTCCTCCCAGGGGCACAGGGGACAGGGAATGGGGGTTCAGTCAGTGTGTCTCTGCTGCTGTTCCCAGCATGGAAATCCAGAAACAAAGTGTTCTGATGCAGCTTCCTATGGAGTCATGGACCTCTTCGGGCTCAGCTC